ATAAACACCACCCCCCACAGATAAAATACATCTGGAAAGAAAACAGTGGAAAGAAAACTACCCTTCAGTGAGGTAGTGCACTTACCTTGCTGCTTCTTCTATCAGCTTTAAACAATCCCAGAAGTCTTGTTTTTTCTTTTTCTATTGCATCATTGCTTACTGAAGCCTTTCGACTTGGTTCTGAAACAATTACAACAAAATATGTTTTACAGTTCTGAAATAAAGATTCAGAAGATCAGTATTTTAAAACATCCTGGATTAATGCTGCATTCTTTTGAGAAGGAGACATTATGAATTGAATTATCTAAGTAACTGCCAGATCCCACACTTTCTTTTTCATCAAACTTTTTATTTGTTCCAAGTTTGTTCCAAAAGCTAGTGGAGATAAATGGAATAATTTAATAAACTTCAACAAATTTTCAATCACAATTTACTAATCCTTACTAAAAGGCAAAACATGAGCAAGTTGCTTAGCCTTTAGAAATGCTTGTTAGAGGTCTCATTTAAAACCCGTGGAGTACTCTAATACCTGGGGGGGGGGTGAGGGGGGGGGAGGGAAGACTTTTCAAAAAGGTGAGTATCATTAACAATCCACAGGCTGGACTTAACATAGTTAAATCAATGGAAAGATTCTGAATGTGGATTTGAATCAGGCTCCATGGAGAGGAAAGACACCTTTTCCCTTGGAAAAACGGCTCTCCTTAAAACTTAAACATGTCAGTCATGGTCATCTTTTCTCATGTTGGTGCTTTTACTTCAATTGAGAGGCAAGTTTATATGCGTTTCAGGCTGTAAAAGCTCAAACACGCATGTCCTCCTTGAACCAGTTAAGGAACTGTATGAATTCTCAGACTATTTAGTCTCCCTTCCATTTCCCCCACACCAGTCCAGCTGGATGAGCAACATGATAAGGTCATGCATTACAGGGAACAACCATTGGTTGAATATACAGACTATAAAGCTCTCCCACTTTTTTAAAATGGACACTGCATAATGCTATACAGATTCCTCCCCAGTTCCAAGCACATCAGAGTATCCCCACTAGCACGCAGGAAGTTTAATATACAGAGAAAAAACACTTTCTCTTGTAAATAATGCTTTATTTGTTTAATAACAGCTAAGAAGCAAATGCACAGTGACCTGTTTGTTGACACAAAAGAAGGTTCACTTCACAAAAACACCCCACCTCACCCCAGAACTCTCTTGAACAGATTTGCATTTCACACAAAACACATGACTTTCAAACAGATCACTTTGCATAACAATGTTAGGTGGTGTTAAATACACAGACTAGTTCATAGCACAGTAGAAGGGTAAAGATGATGAAGGCAGAGGAAAACAGGAAGAAACTATTCTTAAGAAAGGCTGCAACTCCACTGTGAAAGATAGAGCAATAAATTAATACCTTTCTCAGATACGAAGCACTGCCTATGCTCATTCACCAGAAACTGCTGATTTTTTTGCTCGGGGCTGGGCTGCAGCTAGATGTGGATTATGAATCCCTTACTCACGCAGCCCTGAACTGTGAGCTATGTCAGTAACCACTAATCATCAACATTACCACTCAACATTGCATAATGTCAATAAATTTGGATTTTTAAACACAGCATCTCATCTCAAACCAACAAGGAATCTATAAATTTGTAACCATTTTTCTTAAATAAATACAGTAGATATTCTCTCTAGTATTGTGCTCTGTATAAGAGGAAGCCATAGCAAGTAATGACAGAGGATTAGGGGGACCAGTACTGGCATTAGGGATGCCAAAAGGCAATATAGGCCATGAGCTAAGACTCGCTCAACGGCTGACCCCTAATGGAGATAGATGGACTTCCTTCCTTCCTTCCTTTCTGAAAATTTAAAGAAGTTAACCACAGTTTTATTTTGGTTATGTTGTGTTACTGGTAATGCAGAGAAGTAAAGCCATCAACCATTCCTTTCTTGAGGATAATTAATTTAATCAATGTATTACAACAGGCTCAGTAGGGCAAAAGAATATATTAAATATGTACATTTTCTGCTTAACTAGAAGCAGAAGCACCCATGTGATCTAAATTAAACCCTACTTACTGCAGCAATTGGAAGTCAGCATCTATTTGGAGTTATCCAACGTGCATACATAGGTTTGGTATTAAAATGCCTTGTTACATGTAAATTGAAATGAGTGGACGATCTCATATATCTCGTAATATGATTACTAAATAAATCTTGAACCTGAGACCTCTGAAATGTTAGTATTCCTGAAATTCAACTAATCCTACCTGAAAAGGCTTGGAATCTGTACAGAATCATACCGTACCACAGGACAGTTAAATGACAGCATTTGTTAATTGCTGGCATATTAATGGCAATTACTGAAGAAGCAGTATGCACAGAAGTGTGTTTGTTCAGACCAGAAGCACAGACATGTAAACAACACTTTGCAAAGGACAACACAGATCTAAAATAGCTCGTTTCTCTACAGCAGTTTAGATGACATTCTCAGAGATCTATCCACTAACCCCACATTCAACAGTGTAAAGGGAAACGCGGTTTTCTCTCAGCAGCATTGTACAGTACCTCTATAGTTCAGAGAAGGTTCAGACTGAGTTTTTGATGGAGGAACTGGAAAAGGCAGGCAATGAAAGGATAAGAGAAGAAAAATTAAAGTTCTAATATTGCCTCGCAAGACACAATATTCATTAATTACTCCGAGTATTTGTTTTCCTAAGCATTACAGAAAAAAAAAAAAAAGTTGTCCACCAACAGATATGCAGAGCTGCTACCAGGGGCCGTTCAGCGGCGTTTGTATTCCTTCCCGATTCGGCCGTGAAGGTGCTCCAACTGCTAAATCGAATCCTGTCAGCAGGTGGCAGCAGAGCACGTCTTTTAATCATCCTTCAGCACTGGGTATTTCTGTTTTCAGGGAGAGAATGACGAGCACAAAAGTTTTTCTAGAAGCTGCTCTTACGTGCACAGTCGATGCTTTCAGCACCTCTGATGCCTTACTCGTTAGTGGGAATGGGCTTTAAAAACCTGCCCCGATAATAGGCTGGACATCTACTCAGTGCACAATTCACAGACCAACTGCTACTGAAACCAGTGGCATTATTTCCTCTTGAAGATTAGAGATGAGAAAACGGGAGGGAGGAATTTGCTGGAACAAAGGAAACCTTTTGTGAATTTTATGTGTATTTACCAGTTTCCTCATCAGACACCATGGTGCAGAGTAAAAGGGAGACAGAAAAAGTTGAAATACACCCAAGATCAGGGGGATTTTATCGTAACGAAAGGTACACAGAAAGGTAAAAAAAAAAAAATAAAACGTCAAAATTTTCTGATACAGACAGCAGCACGCTATGAAGTGTTAGATCATTTATTGCCATAATCCCAGCCCTGAAGCAAAGCCTTGGTTTTGACTATACAGGCTACAACTGGATCTGAGAACCAATATTGCATCCGTATATACACCATCACTTTCATTTCGAAGGCAAAGAGTCGAAGGAAGGCTTTGGCTAATTACTCCGTAAGTTGTCCCTGAAGTAGGCTGAATGAATACTGCTGAATACCCTGCATGTTCAACATGTTGCTCCAGAACGCTTAGCTTAATTACAGTAAACATACCTTAAAGAACCAAACAAACATGCAATTGAGTTATGACATGTTGTCAGCCACTTTTTTGAGCACCCTAACAATTCAAAGGAAAAGGAGACATTTAGTTTACTTAAAAGTGTACGCTCACTGAAATTGGACTCGCACAGAGGTAGAACTGTCACTTACCAACGGAGTTTGAAAGAAGAGACAGAACATCAACATAAATAAATAACTGTATAAATAAAAAATAAGCCTGGTGCTCAGCACCTACAAGACTGACGTTATCTAAACAATAAATAAGGGCATTTACTGTGCTGGAAGCGATGCCACGTGAGACAAACTGCAGGAGACAATTTTAATGAATATCACTTTCTGACCTCAAAGGAAGGAGCACTTGTCAATGTGTATTTGTAAAGCGGGTATATTTTAAAGCACACTGCATAATTATGCTGTTTGAATACACAATCAGGCTGATAAAATTCAAGCTCAAGAAGCTGCTGCTACAATATCGTCTACAAGAAGAGAAAGTGAGGGTGAATAAAAAGAACAAAATTTTAAATACAAATACCTCTTAGCTCCTCTTCACTAAACCGTCAGTAACTTCGCACTTCGGAGGAGCCGTCTCTGAACCTATCCACAGTCTGTTCCTCATAAGCCCTGGTCTGTCGCCTCTGCCTCTCAGCTTTCGCAGCTGCCATAACTATGGCATGTCTCTCCTTTCTCTCTCTCCAAGCCCCAGCACGGTTAGGCAGGTGACAGGCTCTGCCTGGACGAGGCCCCGCGTTACGCACACCCGTACTGAAAGCAGCTCCAGAAGGTAGCAAAGCTCCTCCCTGTGCCCTGCCAGGGGCCAGCCCAGCCTGGCGTGGGGCCGAGAGCAGCGAGGGACAGCTGGGCACGCTGCTGCCCTGACTGCCGGCTGGGCACGGCTCACTGAACCAACCCATGCTGCTCTCCGGGTTGAGGTGTTGTGTCACTGCTGCTTTGGCCTGGCCCGAAAGCAACAGGAGCATAAATGCTTTAAAGTTGCCCATAATAATGTTTTCACATCATCTAACCCTGCAGCGGCCGCTTCCAGTCTCAGCTCACCTCTTTTTCTGTCCCAGGCGTACAGCTCCTTTATCCCCAGCTCCTCCAAGGACTTGGTAAGCTCCAGCTCCTCCCCAGTGATGCCATCCCGCAGAAGGACAACGTGCTCTTGACTGACTTCACACTTCTCACAGATAGCTGGGATGATGCTGTGGAGAGGGACCTCCGGACTAACCCGAACCACGGCCTTCTGCGTCTTCAGGTAGTTCACTACCAGCCTCACAGACTTCTGCAGACACAAACACAAGCTCTCAGCCCTCCCTCCGTGACAGCTAGGCTCTCTTGCAATGAGAAAGGCACTGGGGACTTCCATACTGTCTCGACTCCTCCTAGGCAAACTTGCCCCACATGCATACTATTGCAAAACCATAGTATGAAAAAAGAAAAACCTCAGAACTCCCCTGTCGCTAAGGAGACTTTTGCAAAAACAAGCAAATAAGGAAAAGGCATCAGAGGCAGCTGTAATTTGTCAATGTTTACAAGTACCGCTCTGAAAAGCGTGACAGTGTAATTAGCTATACTGATACAGAATAATAAAAAATTCAGCAAACATACTGGGAAAATGGCTACTCCTGAATCGTCACAATACTGTGAACTACGTTTGTTAGCCATCAGTCTTCTCCCCTACTTTCGATAAAGACAGCAAACAAAATGCCACCAAAACCCTACCTACCTCCGCATGATCCCACAGCCCTCATTTCAGCCACAACTGCAAATTTCAGTCATCCCCATCTTCAATCAAGGGTCTTTATAAGACAGATTTCCATCTACATAACATTTTGTCTAAAATGCAGGAGTGCAAATTGGCTAAGCTAGTAAAGCAGGCTACAGTCAATCTCAAGACGCTCCCATCTGGTTTGAGGATGCAAAGAGTGGAAGAACTGCTTGATATCACAAGAATGAAATGATTTCTCACGGCACCATTGTGGCCCTAAAGAGTACCAACCTCAGGGACCCTTGGCAGAGGTCGCTTTGTCTTCTCTTCGGGAACCTTCTCTTTCAGAAGTACCGTCTGTATGTCCAGTGCTCCTATCAAAGTGTTTGGCTTGTAACTCAGAGGTTGTTGAGCTCCCAAAGTCTTCAGTTCAAGACTATGCTGGGATGGATTTAAGCGATACTGGCTGCATAAATCGACCAACAGATCCATTACAGCTTTACTGCAGGGAAGAAGACATTTACCATTAGCATGAGAAAGAACAGTTGCTAAAAAAATTTACCTCAGTTTTAATATGAGAGGAAAACAGACAATACAAGCTGTGGATGTGTCACTGGTTAACCACCTTTGGGACCAAACAACATTAGGACTATTCCCTCCCTGTAAGCTGGATTTTTTTTTCCAGCTTAAAACTTCAAGACACAGCCCCCCACCCACATTTGACACCAGCAATATTTCCAAGTACAAGAGATCCCTTCCATATTTATTTTGGTGAGGATATTAACCCTGTATAAAAACATCTCCTTTTGTATTATCAACAACTCTTATTGCAGATATCGTTCTCAAACAATGAGGTTAAAAAACTCTGTTATTGCCCCCCTCTTCTCCCATGCCTCTGCATGGAGGTACTCCGTTTTGTGTCAGTAACTCAACGTTCACTGGAGCTTGATACAGCCGCACACTGCAGATACAAACCATGTTCTTCCACACTCCAGAAATTCTCTTCTACCCAGGGGTACCGCAGGGTTTTGGTTTTTTTTCCCAACTTTCCTCCCTGAAATTCCATCCAGAACCAGAGAACACAGGTTTCATGAAACTGGTTATGTTTCTGAAAACTTGGTTTCATAAACCAGTACTTGTCACCAACGAAACACCGTAAGTTGAAAAAAATTACCATCCGTACCTGAAGCCTGTCATATAAATGGGATATTTGTCTTCTAGCAAGTGAAAATACGTGCATAGACAGCATATTTGCCAAAGGAAATGGCATCTCTTCTAATGTGTAAACTGGAGAAAGCGTATACAGATTCAAAATGCAAGCAAATTCAAAGAAAATCAAATCCATCACAGGTTATTAGCTATCAACACTACATCTGTAGCTCAAGAACTGCCCTTCAACTGCAAACTGTCAGCATCTGGGAAACAGCTCCATGGGGAGCTGCCCAGCTTCTTTCCATGTATACGTTGTTGACCAACAACTGCTTGAGAAGTTGGCGAAGAACCCTGGAGAGCTAATGGCAAAGACAACGAGAACGAACTCTTATTAACAGGTGGAAGAGTAAAACACACAGAGGTGGCAGCTCTTCCGGCGCAAGAGATGAGAACGGGCCTTCTTTACAGTAAACTATTTACAGCTGAACTGGGTCATGCAGTGTGAGCTAAAAAAGTGGCAAGTGTGGAAAATCTGAAACAGGTGATCGCATTGAAAAGAGCAGAACACAGGAGAAGATGATGACTGAAGATCAAACACATAAAACAGATGTCATTAATATGTAGAGGAGGATTCAGAAAAGCAGAGCACTGTGGTAACTGGTAACACAGAGAACATCTAAATAGAAGCCTTCAGTACGTAAATCAAAACTCTATCAGGTCATTTCATGACAACTTGTTTTGGCACTGTCCCCAGGTTGCAAACATCTGTATTTCAGAACCGTGTTCAATTCCCATGCAACACACCACAAAGCAACAGAAACATCTACACCTAGAAGTCCAAATTATAGGACAACCCACCCTAAACCGATGTTTACGTGAATATTCATTATGCCATGCAGCAATGAGCATTTTAAAGGTGTCAGTCCACCTGAGAGAGACAACTTGTCTGTTCACAGACAAGTGAAATTTCACTCTTTTAAAGTGAAATTTGCATGTGTTTTGTTTTTCCCCTCAGCCCCATTACTATTGTTCCAGAGAAAAGCAAAGAACCTGGCAGAACCACAACACACTGGTGTTGTGTGTGCTAGACATTTCTATTTAAAGTGGGATGCTAATGTATTTCTGCAGTGCACAGTATTGCGGTAATTCATTCATATTTGGACAGTTATCTTTCCTCATGTAAAATATTTAATTAGGAACATTTTTTTAAAAATAACAGCACTTGAAAAAGGATTTTTTAAAAATAGTTCAGCAAAAGGACAGTTTATGACTCTCTGCACCTTGCACTGAAATTATGAAATACATTCGGCAGCAACAGTACCACGACTGCAACTAGATTAGAATCCACACCAGCCATCAGACGAAAGAGGCTACAGACAATCATGCAAGCTGAACAAATTTGCCTGGACAAGGAACGATTTAAAAACCCAGCCAAACATGAGGTTTCGTCTTATTGTTGATTACAGAGCAGGTGTGCGTTCAATGTAACTCTTAAGGAAGTCTGCACCATCCCATCCTGAGCCATGCTGTTCAGAATAGACAACTGCTCCACAAAACACATCCCCAGCCTTCATCTGTGTCATTTAGGAGTATAAATTAAGCAGTATCTATGAAGCTTTTGAAACAACTACAAAATGAGTAGTATGTTCCTCCTAAAATGTAAATTTGGGAAAATAATTTCCACAACACTTCAAAAGGATTACCCAAAAAAGAAAAAAATAAGAGGAATTCTATAAATAAAACTCAAAATTTGTGTGTTTCCAGATAAGTAAGAGAGCTGGAAAGTCCTTGCAATGAAGTTATTCTTACATCAGACTTCAACTTCACCAACTTGGAAATTTTTCCTTCTAAACAGTAATACAGATCATCTTGATTTTTAAATGGGAGTTTTATTTTAAGTAACTCCATGTACACGCCACACGCAGAAGACATCCACTAAACACAGCAGGAGGCTGGCACTCAATCATCTTCTAATCTAGACCATCTTTTCTTTCTAACCTTGGGCTGAATACTGCTCTTGGAAGATGCAAAGAGTCAGTCTTTCCTTTGCTTCCACCTTGTTCCATGCCTATCTGCATTTTATTTTAATCTGCTTCCGAGACAGCATGCTGTTTTGAAATTCAGGCAGGTCTGTTCATAAAGGATTAACTCTAAAGCTGACATGAAGTTGTCGTCTCATGCCTTTCCAACTACTCAGCTAAGAAACACGTTAGTTTCTTATTTTAATAAGATGTCGCTGAAATTTTGGGTAGGGAGATCAAACACCATGTGACAGACACCAAATGTTGATGACTGATATGGAAATACCAGAGCACACAATAAAACTGGAGGATGAACCCAATTTAAGATTCAGACAAGATGGTCCAGACAACTATTCTTAGCAAAGGAGAGTACTTTGGCTCTGTCCTGATATTCTATTACTAAGCTGTTTGACATTTAACACCAATTCAGGGCAGTAAAGAATAACTACTTTGTCAGCAATATTTATGAGGCTGAAGTCCTGACCAAGTTTGAGCATGCCAGGCCACTTGTCACCAGTAAAATGCAGCAAAGACATCTATAGGTTAAGAGGCAGAAAACAACTGAGTTGTTTAGGGTGTGGCTTGGCCCAATCTCCTTGGATCACACAGAGAAATCCATTTTTAAATACAGCCTTGTACATCTAGGAAATAAATGTGTACGATGAGGTTGTACTCTATCAAATGACACTGAATTCCCTACTACCTTCTACTTTGATGATACAAATGTCTATTTAAAAAAAAAAAATCTCAAACAAGAGGAAAGAATCTCCTTTATTTAGGTCAATGACAAACACACTGGGAACTTAAAGTGACAACTGACCGGAAAAGAAACACAGTGGCGTAAAGGGGGTGACCTGAAGTTGCTGACGCTTTCACTATCGGCACTTAAAAACAGCAAATAGCATTAGTCATCACCATTTTCTCATGCTCCAAAGCACAGCAGGGACTTCACGAAAAGATCAGTTTTCCTACATAACCAGAAGGGTGCACACTAAATAGCAGCAGCATCAGAAGTAGTACAGGACACATGGTAACATATTTATAAACGCTTTCTGTTTCTTATTTTGCTCATGTATATTTGGCTCTTAACTTCCATACTTGACCAAATCCACCGTAGGAACATCAAGATAATACACGAGAAGAGGCAGAGGACTGGGTTTGTTGAGCCTTAAGGCGAGAAGGGTGAAGGGAGGTCTTGTTGATGTCTGTAAGTACCAGCCAGCAGGGTTACAGAGCCAGGCTCTTCTAGCAGTCAGCAGCAAGAGGACAGGAGGCAAGTGCCAACACATCAAGCTCCGTTTTGGTACAAAGAAACATTTTTTCACCATGAGGATGGATGGTCAAGCGCTGGAACAGGGGTCCAGCAGAGTTTGGAAACCTCCTCCCTAGAGGTATTTAAACTTGAGTGGATACAGTCCCGAGCAACCTGCTCTTGTGAGACGTACACTGTGCAGGGAGTTAAAGCAGGTGAGTTCCAGTGACCCCTTCCAGCATAAATTACCCTCTAAATTATTCCAGTAAGATACTTTTTTTTTTTCTTCCAAGCTGTGGTGGGTTGACCTTGGCTGGATGCCAGGTGCCCAGCAAAGCTACTCTATCACTCCCCTCCTCAGCAGGATGGGGGTGAAGAAAATAAGATGGAAGAAAAAGAAGACTCATGGATCAAGATAAAGGCAGTTTAATAAAGCAACAGCTTAGGCCACGCACAGAAGCAAAGGAAAAAAAAAAGGAAAAAAAGATTTATTCGCTACTTCCCACCAGCAAGCATTGTCTGGCCACTTTCCTGGGAAGCAGGGTTCTAGTATGGAACAGGTTCCAGCCATTGCTTCAGAAGACATGTTGTAAATGACAAATTCCTCCTTTTCCTCCTTTCCCTTAGCTTTTATTGCTGAGCAGACCTCATATGGTATGGAATATCTCCCCTTGGTCAGCTGGGGTCAGCTGTCCTGGCTGTGTCCCCTCCCAAGGTCTTGCCCACCCCCAGCCTCCTGGTGTGGGGGGATGCTGGAGCGCCAGCCTTGATGCTGTGGGAGCCCTGCTCAGCAGGAGCCAGAACACAGGTGTGTTATCAACACTTTAATTAGCTACCAGCACAAACCACAGCGCTGTGAGGGCTGCTGTGGGGACAATTAACTCCATCTCAGACAGACCCAATACAGAAGCCTACACTGAACTACTGTAGTTTTGACATGACTCCTATTTCTTATTTAATTAAGCTCATTTTTAATGCTTTTGCTCTATGTGCCCTGTTCATCTTCTAACACCACCTCTTTCATGTTTTACCAGCCTGGGCTGATTTCACACCTTCAGCCTTTCCTGGGACACCGTT